ATCCTGTATAATACGTATGAAACATTTTAGGCTATGAAACCTGATAGTAAAAAAAAACAAAAAACGACGACAAATAAAAAGTACCAGAACCACTGGCTGCATAAGTGAATTCTTGTTATTTTTACCTTCCCATGGAACCCCATTAAGTTCTCATTGAATTTTGGGGTTCTGCAGATCACAATTTTAAAAGCCCAACCCCATAACAGATAATATGCCTAACTAGCCAAAACTCACAGTTCAATAACAGCAGCTCATCAGTTTGGCTAGATAGGAAGATATGAGAAGATAGAGCTAGATTTTCCCCCCTTAATCAATATCCTGCGTTCCATGGTGAGATAAAAGAAACAAGTAATAAAAGTATATTAAAATGAAGACAATAATGCTTCCACATCAGTTCTAAAACCTTTGACACTGCTAATAGCTATGAACATGTTATAAGCAGGAATCACTCATATTAGAAAAAAAAGTTCTGGGTTTTTTTATGACAGTTTTCAGTCAAGCTTTAATGATTATAAATCCTATGTATCTGACTTCCATATAATTTATAACCACTTCCTACAGAAGGAAAAAAAGATAATTATTTAATTACTTGAAAGTAATTGGAGGGTTTTTAAAATAGGCACTTTTTAAAATAGGCTATGAAGGTTGAATTCAGCCAAAGGCTCTTCTTGGCATTCAAGAGACCTTGTACTATACATTCTTGTTCACACATACATTGAACCCTAGATCAGTACAAATGTTGATAACAGGCATGGAAATATTAATCTTTTTCATCCAGAACTACTAGCTTTCGTTTGCTCTCTATTGTAAAGTGACATTAACTAAATCTTACAAAGTTGAAAGTACATTTCTCCTTCCTCAGCTTTACAGCCCAAGAAACTAGAGAGGATCCTTTCTGAGACAATACACACACACACACACACACACACACACACACACACACACAGATCTCTTTCTGTGGGTTCAGCTGCTTCTTATGCAACAATTGCCTAGTCTGTGGCTCTTCTCAAGGTCATTCCCATATATTATTACACAACTTGACCATCGCTATTAAAACCATTCCACAATGAGATCCACTGTACTGGACTTAAATTAAAATTAAATCTAAAAATGAGAAGAAGCCACATGAGTTTCTCCACAAAAGAAAACAGTATTTCCCCAAAGCAATTTTGATAGAAAAGTAGCTCAAGAAGATAGGGTTAAGCTTAAGGGTTCTTATCAATTGCCAGTCAAAATACTGTAATTATTATTTCAGAGAATTACATTCAGGAAACAGGGCAGACAATATCACTGATGCATTCATTTCTCAGAATCTAATTTGGTCTGGTCATAAAAAATGCATACTCTGCTGAACTTCCTTCTAAATTTAAAAAAATGGGGTAAGAGAACTCCATCAAGCTAAGAAAATTCAAATTTTGCTTAGTGCAGCCGATGAATAAGTTCATTGTGAGCTTCAGGCCTGGTTTTTATAACTGAGATGGAGTTTGATTTGGCGTTTTAAACGTTGACAATTTTGTTGCCATTATTCTTTCCATTGCTAAAGATAAAGATGTTAAGATAAACATAATCTAATTCTTGGAAGCTCCTCGTGGTCTTAAAAAGTACCTAAATGTTTGAACGAACGCATGCATAAGCTAATAAATATTATTTTACGCAAGTCTAGATTAAGGCCAATTGATGTCCTAAGTACAGGCCAAAATGGTGTCTCTTGATAAAAGCAAAACTCTCATGCCATGAAACAAATATGATATCAGATGACACCTTCCAACCAAACTTTTAAAATTTAGTCACTTACCATGCCAATGTTTTTAACATCACAGATTAAAGTTGAACATGGCAGATAAGGATAATTACAAAAAAAAATTGACTAAAGACAAAAAATAAGGGGCATGATAGCTAGGGGAAAACATTTTTTGGTATTCTCTTGCCTTGGTATCCTAAGCAGGTGCTTGTTTTACTTATTGGTTAATCCAAGGCTGTTTTTGGGCTAGGACCATCATTTCTCCAGAATAGTCAGATATTGGTAACTGCATTCACAATGTGACGCTCTGGTGACATAGTGGTTAGAATGCAATATTGCATGCAAACTGTACACACAGTCAGGAGTTCAGTCCTGATGGGACTCGAGGTTAAGTCAGTCTTCCATCCTTCCATGGTTGGTAAAATGAGGACCCAGATTGCTGGGGGCAATAGGCTGACTCTGTAAACTGCTCAGAGAAGGTTGTAAAGCACTATAGAGTGGTATATGTCTAAGTGTTATTTCTATTGCTATGTAAAGGATCATCACAGTTTCCCAAATGTGATCATCATTACAGCATCTCTCTGTAAAATTTCAGAAGTTAAAAAAAAAACTTTTTTGTGCTTTCGAGTCAATGTTGATTCCTGGGCGACAGCCTGCATGAATCACAATCGCACTTAAGACTTAGGTACCACTTCACAGTGCTTTACAGACCTCTCAAAGCAGTTTACAGAGTCAGCATATTTTCCCCAACAATCTGGGTCCTCATTTTACCCACCTCAGAAGGATGGAAGTCTGAGTCAACCTTGAGCCTGGTGATATTCAATCTGCCAAATTGCAGTCAGCAGAAGTAGCCTGCAGGACTGCACTCTAACCACTGTGCTACCTCGGCTCCTGCAATTCCTGAATGAATACCTGCAATTCCTTGGCAGGGTTTTCCAGAAGTGATTTTCCACAGTCTCTTTCCTAGGACCAAGATAGACAGCGTGTCCCAAGATCGCTCAGCTGGCTTTGACTAGAACCCATGGCCTCTCATTTTTTTGCCTGGTGCCTTAACAACTACACCAAAGTGGTTCTCTAAATTAATAGAAATCCTAATCTTGTAATTTGAGTTGGATAATTAGACCTGAAGCTCTAGAACAGTTGAGTAACATGAATTCCCTTCAGCATTAGCCTTCGTGGCCGATGATGAAGCATGATATTAGTTGCAGTTCAACCCTGAAAGGCTGTCATAATTCTAAAGCAGGAATAGGGAATAGATTTGTTCCATAGTTCATCTGCAATCAATCCATCATGTGTTTGGCTATCATATTGCCTTTCATGATTTCTTTCTCAGGCTAAGCATATCCAGTCCCTTAAAATTTTCCATGTACTGTAGTACACTTCCTGATTATGTTCACTAAAATATGGCACATCAAGAAAGCCTCAGGAAAGGCTAATCAAAACAGAACAAATTGTTCCCATTAGAATAATGTGTACTGTGGGCCACCACTAATGTTTTCATTATCAAGAAAACGTATATGGCTGCCCAACTCACGGTGACTAGAGACAGCTTACACATTACTCAAGGAATCAGACTCCAGAAAAACAACGCAAACAAAAGTGAGCATAAACACCTAACAAATAAATTAGAACACCATAGAATTAAGACGCTTTACAAAGCTGCAGGAGGAAGAGAAACCTATATTCATGTATTACATTTAACCATGAATGATTAAATTATGGCCTATGAAATACTATAAGCCGCAATCAGCAAGATTCACCCATCCACCTCAATTCATGCTTTAGAAAGCTCCTGCAAATTGTTATGTCAAAACCAAACCATTTGGCTTAATATGGTCCTAGGATCTTTTCCCAGAAGTCTCCAAAATCAGAATTATTTGCCAGCCTATGCTGAAAACTAATGACATAAGTAGTTCTTGATTTACAACTATTTTATTGACTGTTCAGTTACATAATTGAAAAAAGTGACGTATGACTGGTTTACACACAACCATTGCCGCATCCTCATAATCACGTGATCAAAATTCAGGCACTTGGCAACTGGTTGTATTTATGACAGTTGCACCGTCCCATGGTCATGTAATCACCATTTGTAACCTTCCCAGCTGGCTTCTGACAAGCCAAGTCAATGGGGGGTAGCTAGATCCTCTTAATGACCGCATGGTTCATTTAACAACTGCAGTGATTCACTTAACAGGTGTGACAAAAAAAGGTAGTAAAATGAGACATGACTCACTTAATAACTGTCTTCCATAGCAACAAAATTTTGGGGCTCAATTCTGATAGCCTGTTAAATGACTACCTATATTAAAATCCCATCAAACAATCATGAGAAGCAGTAGCAGCAACGAAAGCATTCATTTTAAATGTTAACATAAGTACAGGTAGTTTTCAACTTATGACCACAATTGAGCCCAAAATTTATGTTGTTAAGTGAGTTTTGCCCCATTTTGTGACTTTTCTTGCCACATTTCTTAAGTGAATCACTGCAGTTGTTAAATTAGTAATACGGTTGTTAAGTGAATCTGGTTTCCCCATTGATTTTGCTTGTCAGAAGGTCTCAAAAGAGGATCACGTCACCCGGGGTTACTGCAACCATCCATATATAAATCAGGTCTGAATTTTGATCACTTGACCATGGAGATGCTGCAACGGTCATAAGTGTGAAAAATGGTCATAAATCACTTCTTTCAGTGCCGTTGTAACTCCAAATGGTCACTAAGCAAACTGTTATAAGGACTATCTGTATTGATAAACATAACCTACAGTATTTGGATCCTCCATAATTTTTTAAAGCGGGAAGGGTTCTAGAGTGAAAAAAGTTGGGGGGCAAAAACACTGACCTAGCATATTGAGGAAACCAGGCAGAACAACTTCACATTCCCACACCCGGCAATCTAAAATCAATATGAATTATCTAAATGTCTCTCAGGGAGCAATCTAAGATCAGTGCAGCCTTTCTTCCCCTAGAGCTGAGCAAGAAACTGCAGTTATTTCAGGCCAGCCCGTTAAGACTCAATTAGGGCTAATCTTCGCCAGGTTTTCCCGATCCCTGCAATTTCCATCATTCCTAATCTGAATTGCTTTTTTTTTTTTTAAAGGGGCACTTGGGATGGGTAAGAATTACAGGGCAAAAAGGACGGCGGCCGTTTAAGGATGCAAAAGTGGATTAATATGGAGAGGTTTTTGCAAATATCCCCCCCCCCAAAAAAAAACCCGGCTCACGGCATTTTCCCAGCATCTGCTAGAGGAGCCCTACCACGCTTTCTCCTCCAGCCCCCGCCTCGAAGCGAATTCGCAACACCACGTACAAACGGGGGACACATCAAGCAATTTCAAAGCCAGGCGCCGCTTCCGCTTGTAAGCAAGTCTGGCTTACCGGAAGTGCCACAAGTCCACAAACACGTGAGAACAAGGCAGAAACTCGGGTCTGTGGGAACCCAGGTGCTTTCCCTCCTCCCCCTACTTCTGGTATCAGTAAGCATTGTATGAAATCCTCCCTCCCCATTCCTTTTGTAAGTCCCCAAGCCGAGCCAAAAAAATGTAACAGTCGCAGGAGGGGTGTGTAGAAGGTCGAGATGCTGCTTTAAAACGTAGAACAACTAAAACGCGTGTAATAATGCCTCCTTGAGGTATTTAGGAAACTGGGGGAAATGGTCTTTATTTCTGAAGGTGGAAATAGAGGAAATGTGGTGGGGTGAGAGACCCTATTCCGGCCATCTTGGTTGTGGGCAAAAAGGAAGGGAGGAAGCTAGAATGACATACATATATTCATGTTTACTCTTATTCCTGTTATCTTGTACATGAGTAACAAACTAAATAAATAAATAAAATACGTATTTTTGTATTGGTTTTGATTCTTGAATTTCTCTTTGTACTGCAGTTACAAACATAAACATTTTTTTAAAAAAAATCCTTATGAACCTCTTTCAGATTTTGTCTTTTTTCAGGTATGGCTTTTATTTCCCCCCCCCCCCAAGAAAATATGATCACTGTGCTGATAATGCACGCCAGCTTGAAGAAATAAGCAGGGACTTTGGGCTCTTCTGGCATGCTTATTCTTTCTTGCTTGAATACATATTTCTGTTTATATTCTGCCAAGTGACTTGTGCCATGTGATACAATCTCTTTGTAACACTACAGCAGTACACTGAAATATTCTCAATACATACCAATGTAGAAAGTTATCAACCAGCCCTCTCCCAGAAAAATGAAATATCCTAGGAAATTTTGAAAAGGCAGAATATTTCCCTGGATGTGAAAAGGAAGAAACCTGTTTTAAAGACAGAATAAATCCCTGCAGCTTCCTGCTCATCCCCCTTTGTCAATGGGCCATTGCCCAAGCCAGTCCCTTTACATAATAAAGATTCTACCCTTCAGCTCCAGGGGGTTGGGATTAAGGCATGACTAGCCTTCACCCACTTACCACATGGCATCTGAGAACTCAACCGAACCTGGATTCAAAACACAGCCTAGAGTGTTGCCTCCTGCATGGCCCCATGGGAGTCTGACAACCAATCAGGTTATACAAGATCAAGATCAAAGGCCAGAGAGGGCATAAAACCAGGGACTTTCAGCATCTCAGCCCTTCCTTCTCTTCTTCTCCCCACATTGAAGCATGGGATCATCTTTTCTGTTCAGGATTCAAGCTATATGGTCCTGTCCACCATTAAACTATCTTTCCAAGGAGCCTCCATGTCTCCAGTGTCTTTTTCCCCACTTGGAGCCGAACCCAGAAGGACATTTCTTCCAACACCAATATAAAAAAACATGTTTCTCTTACCATATCCCTTTGTTCCCCTCTTTTCTGTAATTTATGTCTTCTGTGTTTGGAATCACTCTCATTATTTTTTATAATTTCATCTATTTTATTTTACATAGATGAATGCACTGACTAAAACTAAAATGTGCATAGGAGAAGGGTTAGTAAATATGGAGGATCCCCGAGTCTTTTATAAAACAATTCAGGTGAGGAAACCCACAATATTGGCTTCTATTTGTTTAATACTTTGCTAAGGTTTTAAAATCCCATATGGAATCAAAGATACAGTAAGACAGATGGCACTTTGAAGCAAATATATGTAGAATACCCATTTTAAAAGATGAGGCTTTGGTTTGGTGTTCATTTAGTACTTCATGAAGAGTATGAACCTGCCATTTTTTCCCATAGGACCCCCCAAAAAAGTCATGTATTCAAACCACAATCTACTATTTTAGTACTATGATCCTACAAAGGGAAATCTGGTATCTCTAGGACAGGGGTGTCAAACTCAAGGCCCGCGGGGTACTTAGATCTGGCCATGGGGCCTCCCTGGAAACAGCAAAGGACTGGCCCACGGTGCTTCTGCCATCAAAAATGGGCTCCCAAACTCCGTTTTTGGCTGCCACGGCCTCCTGCAACCCTCTGCCAGTGAAAACAGAGCTCGTTTTCTCTGGCAGAGTGCTCGGGTCACCACAGGTGCCCCCAACAGAAGTGATGTAGAGCTGGCCCCGCCCCCTGGCCCATTCACCCCCCCCAGGTCAAACACAACCCTAATGTGGCCCTCAATTACATCAAGTTTGACACCCCTGCTCTAGGAAGTTTACACAAATACTGTAAAATTAAAGAGGAATAGCCTCTTTGATCCAGTGTCTTCAGTCTATTATTAAGTATAATTAGAAGAAATATTAAGTATAATTAGAGGAAACATATAGCCAAACCATTACAGAGAGAGAGGGAAAGAGAGAGATTTCCTGTGCTGTTTGTCAAAAAGTTACTTTACATGTATAACATTAGGGTGGTGGAGTTTGGTAACACATTTTTAGACTGATGAATTTTCTTTGAAAAGTCTTTTAACAAAATGTGGTATTCTGAAAAGGTGTTATCAGACTCCTTATGTCTTTTGGTTATTGCAGACCAGAGTCTCCAAACCCCTGTCTGTGAACCGGCACTAGTCCATGGCATGCCAGAAACTGGGCCAAATAAACAAGCAAAGTCCCATCTACAGGGTGCAGGCAGCACACCGTGGCCCCTTTAGTCCATGGAAAAATCGCTCCACAGAACCGGTCCCTGGTGCCCAAAAGGTGCTGTAGACTAATGCATCTCTCTTCCCACATCCTATCACATACAAAGTAGTTAAAAGATCAAGGCAGGCGTGAAATGCTCTGAAGTTTGCTACTGGTTCGCTTTGCGTGCACATGTGCGCCGTTCACCCAAACCAGTAGTAAATGCTGTTGGTTCAGGCAAACCAGTAGTTCCGACGATCAGCTGTGCAACAATTAGCTGTTCCGCACAATTTCTTATTGTAGCATTTTTTACTACCAGTTCTGAACCAGTAGCATCTCACCCCTGGATCAAGGTAACTTGGCTTTCTTGTATCTTTAAGGCGTTTTTGTAGATACTCAGTGGAAGCAACGGTAACTAAACTATACAGTATCACCAAGATTATGCACTACAAGGAAATAAAATTCAGCAATGATGAATAAACCAATGAAATTTTGAATATTGTTCTGCTCTGAAGAATAAAAAAATGGTTATGAACTATTTTAACATAAATATTGACTTTATATAAAGGTCTAAAAGCAAGCAAGGAATATTAATATTTAGCATTTATAACAATATATCATCTTATTTTTTTCAATTCAATGTCACACAAACATTTCATGCAAGTAGAATTACCATTGCTTTGCTTTAAATTATCTTAAGAAGGCAGGATATGATTGGGCATTTATTTATTGCCTAAAATTATTAAAGCCAAATTGACTTCATTTCAAGAAGTGATAAATCTCCCTGTGCTCATTATAGAAGACACAACAGTATGCTTGTCTGTTTCATTTGTAGGTTTCCTTTTGGCACCTGGTTCCCCTGTAGAGGAATAAAATTTTGGTTTGATGTTTTGTGTAATTTATGTCAAACTGAGAGGTAGAAAAAAAGAAAAAAAACTACATTAAGTATGTAATTTCAAAATTGACAATTCTTGATGTTTACTATTTTGTTTGAGAAGTCTTTCTTCTTTCTCAAAAGATGAGTTTGTATGTTGATAAAGATAACATATTAAACTCCATTAGTAAATGGGGTTAGGGGAGGAGTTCTCCTGATAAATTTTCTTATGAAACACAATACTTGAAAAATCCCTCTATTAGATTCCAAATACTAGTGATAAAATCAAAATCACATGCCTGTCTAGTACACACAGAATCATGTTTATAGTCCCATTGATTTTGGCCCCAAATTTTGCTCTAATAGGACATGTCCAAGCCATTTTAATTACTGACTTCTCTGTGGTGTACATTTTTGGGGCCTACTGGGTTAAACTCATTTTAATAGTAGGGAATCTGATTTCTAATTTCACATTATTTAACTACAGCTCCACTGGCTGACCAGGACAGGGTGCCCTAGTTCATTATGAAAAGGCCAAGTAAATAATGAGTTTCTTCAACTTTCTGTTAAAAGGGATTAATGGTTTAGAATTAATTAGTTAATTGCACTAAAATCTCCAACAGTTGGAGAATGTGGTTCAAATAATAAATGGCTGGAATAATCTGCCAAGTAGCATTTTGAGGTAAATCAGATTAGTTTTTTAAAATGTCTTTATCAGAGGTGATCCAAATTGATATAAGTTTATTCCAAAATAGATTTAGATATTCCGGTTTTCAGGTAAAACAAATCCAGAGAGGTCTTATAAAACAAGGAGGGTAAATATGGTGTCCCTAGGTCCTCTATCGCCCATGTGTCCTGAATGCCTTTCTTCCCTTACTTAACTTCATCTGTGAAATACCCACCAACCTGCTCCTCCCAATCTTCCCAACCCCTTTTTTTCTACCTCAGAAGGACATCAGAGAGGAAAGGAAGATGTTTGAAAATCAGAGGAAGATAGGTGAGCAAATTGGATATGCTGCGGATAATGTAATATGACTGTAGTATGGCAAGAGCCTATAGGTTCAACCAGCCTATAACTTCCCATCTTCTCAGGACTTTCCCTATTTCCCCTTGGCCATTACAAATGTCTGTGGCAGAAGGATATTGTGCCTTTAAGGCTCATTGTTAGCTGTAGAGCGACGTCGCTATGGGGGTCCCCCATTTGGAGTTGTCCCCAGGATGCCCTGCGCCAACAATTTGTCCAGTTCCACATCAACCTTCGGCCTCAAGGCAAAGGGCACCCTGCGAGCCTTCAGCCTAATTGGGGCAACCTGGGGGTCTAAATTCAGGGAGATAGGGGTCCCCTTGTATTCCCCAAGATTACCATCGAAGACGTCAGCGAACTCCGCAATGACGTCTTCAATGCTAGGGGAGACCGCCACGGTCTGATGCACCCCCACAAGTGACAGGCCCAGCGAGGGGAACCAATCAAGCCCCAATAGGGCA